TATTATTATTACTACTAGTTGTAAAATTATTTTTGATGTAAGTATTATTGTTTTATTACAATTCTAATGATAAAAATAGTGATGGTGAAAATAATGATGATGATAACGATAATGATAGTGATAATGATGGTGAAGTCCTTATATCACCACATTTCAACTACTACAAAGTATTAAAGATTGGGTTTTGTGGAGGTTGATGGTCGCCAATGCCCTGAAAGGATAAGGCAAGAAAAAGACGAAGAAGAATGAGGGTGACAATGATTTTGATGACAATGATGATAATAATGATAATAATGATGGTGATAGTGATGTTAATAATAATAGAAATGACGACGACGATGACGATGATGAAGATTGTGATGACTGCGATATAAATAGCAACAGTTATTGAGTCGAGCTAATTTATATACAGGCTTCTTGACGCTCTGTTCACGTCAGCTTCACCACACTTCACTTGACCGCCAGGTGCCTGGTGATGATGATGATGGTGATGATGGTGGTGATGATGATGATGATGGTGATGAGGGTGATGAAGTTTGATTTTATTTCGGCAATGGAAGTTAGTTCAATTTCTGACGAAGTTAGTTCAATTTTTATTTCATTTTTATTTTTTTTTGTCGCTGAGTATAAAAAAACTTTTAGAACCCACCCATGAAACAAAATTCTGGCTACGCCTTGCACGTTTGAGCTAATAATTATGATACCCAAGCATTTAAATTTATAAGTTATGAATAAATAAACAATAATAATAATAATAATTAATAATAATAATTAATAATAATAATAATAATATTGTAATGCATGTAAGTGTACCACATGGCAACTTAGCGACGACCTAGCACGAGACCTGCAGCTTACTTTTGGAAAAGTTTTGAGAATTTTTTTTTCATTTTTTCAAGTCAGCCGTTGTGGAGGTATATAACAAAATGGATGGTCCTTTTTTACTATCATCTAGAAAGAGAATTTCGTTAATTTGCTGGTGATGTTTACTGCCTGTCTCTATGCTGCTGCTGCTGCTGCTGCTGCTGCTGCTGATTGATGATGATGATAATGATAATGATAAGGATGATGATGAAGAAGAAGATGATGATGATGAGAAGAAAATGGTGATGGAGGTGATTGAGACGATGAAGACGACGATGATGAAAACGATAAAAGAAAAAAAGTTTTGTGTTGCGTGTGTTGCATTTATTACTACAGAGATAACCACAAGAGCTACACTCTGTAGATTGTATAATGATGATGAATGACGATAATGAAGATAATTACGAAGATGATGTATGATGATAATAGAGATGATTACGATATAAATAACATCATAGATGACGCTAAAAATACCGCGTAGAAAGAGGTGACCGTGATGGTGACGACGACGACGACGATGATGCCAAGCTTGTTTTATAGCCACTGCAGATTATACTGACTTTTTGTCAATATCATAGCAACGAAATGGTTATGACGATGATAATGATGGTGAAAAAATGATGATGGTGATGATAATGAAAAAGATGATGATGATGATTTTAGTGGTTATGTTGTTGTTGATGAGGTTACAATATACAATGGTTGTGAGCAAAAATTGTTCTTTGTTGAAAAAGTAGTAATAGTAGTAGCAACAACAGTAGTAGTAGTAGTAGTAGTAGTAGTAGTAGTAGTAGTAGTAGTAGTAGTAGTAGTTGTTGTTGTTGTTGTTGTTGTTGTTGTTGTTGTTGTTGTTGTTGTTGTTGTTGTTGTTGTTGTAATATTAATAGTAGTGTTATGTAAAAAACTGTTTAACCAAATACCTGTGTTTGATTTGAAATTCTCATAAATCACATTGAAATTTTCCGTTTTTGAACAAATAGAAACATTTCAAAATCTAATTTACGTGACATGTTTCATTTTATTCACTCAGTCAGTCAGTTTTTCTCTCATTCACGCATAAATTCATTCATTCACTCATTCATTCACTCACACATTCACGCACTAATTCATTCATTCATTCATTCACTCACTCACACGCACGCACTCATTCTTTGCAACATTCATTTCATCTTTCAATTTATTCCTGGAATTGAAAATGTATCAATTTTTTTTAGTCAGCGGCATATGAATTAATTTTTTAATTTGTTTTTTGCTGGTTTTTCTAACTGCAAAACTTAAAAAAAATTCGACATCCAGATCCATCTATCTATGCACCTTACAAAATGCTCCATGCAGAATGCATCCAAGCACAATGCGCATGTGTGCATGCATCTAAATAACACTTCTGTTTTTGTTTTTACACACACAAACAAAATAATAAGAATAACTATTAAAAATATAATTTTTTTAATGAATATTGTTTTAACTCCTTGACCTCATAACTACCAACACCGATGTTATAACTTCAATGATCTCTATACTTCCATCACCAGTGTTGTAGCTTCCAAAGATCGTCAAGAGTTCGTTTATCCGTAGGTTCGAGATTTTCGATAAATGAACACAACTGCTTCAAACGCAAACTTTGCTGAACGTTTATTTTAATACCAACAGTAATAGAAGCAATACTAATCCAAAGATCTATATAAATCACATTTGCGACTTCGCTTTCTCTGACGGAAACCTTGTTTTAAACCCTGATTATTCACTGGTTATAATAAACCAGATATTCTCACAATCCAAAAATTACAAATATAGCAAAGATAACAAAGAGAACAAATAATCAAGATAATAATAATAATGTAGCGCAATTCGATCATTCCGGCAGTTATAACAGTAATTGAAGTAAACAAAGTAGTGGTACTATGAACCGTAGTAAAAGTGGCAGAAGATATAGTAGTATTAGTGGTTGAAATAATAAAAAATAGACTAGTAGTAGCAGTAGTAGTAGCATCAGCAGTAGAAGTAGTAGCAGCAACAATAGTAACAGTAGTAGCGATAATAGTAATAGCGTAACAGTTTCGACACTTTTGTTCCACGCATTATTAGTTTTATTATTTTCATTTTTATTTAAATAAAGTAATTAAAAACAACACAAGCACACTCTTCAAAGCCTTGAACGATTAAAATTGCATGAAGCGAAACACTAAGATAATGACAATATTGATGAAAATGAACTTGAGGTAATTTAAATTTTATTTTGCAATAGTAACAATTGTGACCACAAACGACTCGCTATTGTTACTAAGACGGAAACTAGAAACAAATAAAAAAAACTTCAAAGTGCAAAAACAAATGCAGTTACATCTTCTTCGTGCATTATTAATGAAATTGCGTTGAAATGAAGTCACCCATCGACACAACCAACCGTCCGCAATCAATCTAGAACCTAACAACCAATCAAGCACCTACCTACCAACTAATTAAAATTCTAAAAACCAATCAAAAACTTACCTACCAACCAATCATGAATACAATCAAATAATCAAAAATCTAAGAGTCAATTAAAAGCTTTCGTACCAACCAATCAAAAACCAACCAACCAATCAAAAACAAACCAACCAATCAAAAACCAACCAACCAATCAAAAACCAACCAACCAATCAAAAACCAACCAACCAATCAAAAACCAACCAATCAATCAAATAAAAATCTACTAGCTACCAATCAATTAAAAATCTGTCATCCGAATAAATTAAACGATTTGTTAACAATAAGCAGAGTTTTAACCCACAGACCAAATAGCGGGACAATGAAAAATTTGAATCAGTAATTAGTTAATTAGCATATTAAAACAATCACTAAACTAAACAACCAACCATCAAACTATTCAATCAACAAACTAATCAATCAATCAATCAACAAACCAACCACTGCTACTTGACAGGTCACCAACAAACGTGTCATTTTAAATTCAACGGGTGAATTTCTAAGGGAAAACATCTACAAAAATTTGAGAAACACAACACACACACAAACACATACATAATTCATTTCGTGAATGTTATTATCAAAACCACTCTAAACATACAAAATATACAAACAACCAGGCACACACACATATGTATTCGGAATACGTGGAGTATGTATACATGTATGTCAATGTAAATATGTCAATATTCAAATAGCAAATATTGATAAGTTGAAAATAAAATTGATTAAATTAAAGTATATTCTGAAAGTTTCCAATTTTGTAATAGATAAATTTTTTTAAGTTGGTTGAAAATGTTAGCACTTTATAAAATGGAGTCTTTGATACTTTGGTTTGATAGGGATGGAAAGTATGTATAGCATAAAATATATGTAGGTAGGAATCATTGATTTTGAATGTCTGTCAACTAAAATAAAACAAATAGTTAAATAAATAGAAACCAAATAGAAACACGAACATAGTAAATGCATTTGAGTTTACTTTTGACAAACAAAAATATGGCAAATGTGATGAGATGGATGAACGGTGGGAGAAAAATTATGACTCAACATTTTGTAAAATAATTTAACTTTGAAATAATAAAATAATTCAAAATTTTTAGTTGTTAATCTTAGTCTGATCTAATCATAGCTCTAAGGCCAGAGATTGAAACATTAATTAGGCAAGCTAACTGATGTAATTGACGTAAACAAGCGAGTAGGTATCAAACGAGGCTGTTGTTGGTTCAAAGAGAGAGAAACTTAACAGACATCGAAGTCCAGTGAATTCTGTTTGCTTTCAACACTGAAGAGCAACAAAAAAATGCACTTGGAAAGCATGAGATTACTTCAAGTCTGCTGTTTTTTTACTGGACAAGTATGAGGTCAACATAAAAAAAATTGAAAGATTCTTGCAAAGAGTTTTTCAACTTGTATAGAGTATTTAAGTTATAACTAACGCCCGTTTGGATTTCATAGCATCTACGTTCTTAGAACCGGTAATTAAAAGAAATAAAAGATCGCAACGCGAATATGACTCAAGTTTTTACGCTAAGTATACGCGCACGCAGTATTTTAGAAATATGAACGTACACACGTGCGACCTATGCACACAGCGTACACGCGCTTACAGATGACTGCTTCTGGGTGAAAAAAAATTTTATTGTTGATCTATTGAACCGTGAGCTATGTCAGGCTTTGAGTTGTTGTTGCATGTTTACCTGATTCAAATGACGCCTGCGAAAAAAAAAATCAAGGATTATCTCAAGTCTTTTGTATATGATGTGGTTCTTGGCTATGTGTGGTGATTTGTGTGTGTGTGTGATATGATGTGGTATTTGCGTATGTGTGGTGTTTGTGTGTGTGTTCGCGCATCTACGTGCAACTTCAGTTCTAAATATTTAAGTATAATACTAAACGAACAAACATCTATCTACAAAGCAAATATATAATTTTCACAAATTAAAAACAACTTTAGTCAGGTCCTCATAAACATGATCGATAAAAATTACTATTATTATTATTATTTAAATTAAAACACAAACTGAAAAACAATTCGGTTTCAACAAAACAAACTGAATAAAGTAAATAAATAAAATTATAGCCGAGTGAAAAATTTGCTTAAAACCCGCTTCCCTCCAAAGGCAAACCAGGCTTAAGCTTTCCACTCTATTCATAACGTCTTTTCTTTATTTGGCACTTCTTAATTGCATATAAGTAGATGGAAACTTTTGAATAAACAAAGTTAAGAAATGTTTCTGTTGTTATTATTATATGAAAATATGGAAAAATATGAATTTCAATTTTAAAAAACTTCAAAAAGACTCGGTGAATTCAAATGAGTATCACTCTCATTTCATTTTGTAATTCAGCAGGAATAACGCTAACACTGTCTGCCAGCATTTTTATTTAACGTTAAAGGTTAAAGGTCTTTTTTCTCAGTCTTATCAACGTCAACAACAGACACAATGTACGTAAATACGCTTGAAACCACGCATCACATACCTTGCATCTGATAGACGGGGATATCTCGGCAATCGAACCGAGACACTGCAAAAGAGGAACAAGCGCTTTCAACCGTCAGGCCATCACGACTCCCAACCGAATGAGAGAGTCAGTGTTTTGTTGCAAAAGAGAGAAATGAAGCGTACAATCTTTATTTTATGCACTCAAATTCTTATAAGAAAAATGTTATTCAAACAATGTAACAATTAACATAACGCAATAGCACATAAGTGTTTACTAAATATGTCTTTCTGTGTATAATATACATACATAATGTACATTGTACATGCTTTCAAAACAAACTCATAAACCTTGCGCTGCCAGCGAGCAACAAATTATGAATATTTTTAAGCATATTTTTATAAAGAAGAGAGCACTAATTGCGCCTAAACAGAGGAGCCATCCTAATCAAGTTCAATGTTTATGACTGCCAACATACAATTGCACGTTCTTACAAGCTGGGTGTCCGTTACAATACATCCAGATACATCCAAATACACGGATACGCCTATATGAAAGTGCGAGTAACTGCACAAATGAATAAATCATGCACGCGTGAAAATACGTAACCATAACATACTTCCGCACATTTGGATGTTTTTATTTGAAACTTGAGTCGGATTTTTGGGCTGAGTGTTCACACAAGTTTGCAAAATATAAGAGTGCGATTTATTTGAATCGTTCAATTACTCAAATATCTAGGCAAACTTATAAAAAAAACAAAAAACAAAAAAAAGTAATTTATTTAAACGATTCAATCAATCTATTTTTAAATCACTTTTAAATTCGAAGCAATAAAAGTTTAATTTCAAAAAAAAATATAATTAAAACGCAATTTGATCGCATCCATTTATGTCATTTATACTCTTCTTGTAGACTTTCTTCCATGGTTTCTTTTCTGTTTTTACCCATTTTTTAAAACATTTTCATCTGGCATTCTTTTTGATTTATTATTAATTAAAATTTTTAAACCGGCCATATTTCAACAGAATCATCAATAATAAATCTGTGTCCAACATGACGTTAAACGCGAAAAATATTATTATCCAATCACTTTTGTCTCTCAAACATTCTTCCTGCTTTATTCAAACTTCTTTTTTTTCAATTTTCCAGAAATTTTCATCAACGTTCTCTCCAGCTGCACTATCATCAAATTATCATTAATTACCTTCGGACATTTTCACCCCAAAATGAGGTCTGTATGTTGACCCTTTGACCTCGTGACCTTTTGAACTTTGAATATAATTTACTGCTTTCTCCCGGTAGAGAGGGCATCTATTATTTGAAATACGTAATGAAAATATTGTCGGGGTTAGATAAGACCGAAGCTACACATTGAACGGTTATTTCGTGCGTGCTTATTGGTGAAATAATATAGCATTTATTTTCCATCAAGCTCTGCTTTTGTTTGTCGCATAGGCACTTATTTTCTTCTTAAACGTGTGTTTTTTTTGCTTCTTATTTTTGCGTTTTTATTTTTAATTGATAAAATGAACTAATAATTAATATATATATCATATATTATTATATATCTATTATATATTATATATAATTTATTATATATTAATTTACAATGATTTTTTAAATAAAAAGGTTTAGATATTTTAGATATTATCTTTGGCAATTTCAACAGTAATAATAACCATGTTTCAGTTACTATTAGTTTGAAACTAATTCGAATAATTACGTCTATCCATAATAAAGAAACTGAAATAATTTTAAAAAAAATGTAGTGTCAAATAAAATAAAAAATCATTTGTTATAAACTCAATTCTACTAAACTACTTAGAAACAATTAATCACTCAAACATTAATCTAACTACAACTAGGAAACCATGTAAACATCTCCAACAGCCATTCTAACTTGGTCAATTAACATGCCGACATAAATAAATCTTTATTCATGTGCAGCCAGCAACAAATTGTTGCATTGAATGCATATTTGGTTGTATACGCAACAATAGACAACCCCAACACAACCACAAGCAAACAAACACACCACTACCACACAAAACAGCACACTACAACAACCACACTCAACCACAAAAACAAAAAAACCATTCAATGACATAACGCTAAAATAGAAACAAACACTCCATAACTAACCTTAACATAGCAGCATCTGATCAGAGGTGTCTTGCCATTAAAATCCCTCATGTTCACGACATCTGGCGATACCGCAGCATCCAGCAAAAATTTGGCAAGATGCACCTGGCCTCTGTTGACCGCATCAAATAGGGCTGAACCCCCTGCGGCCAGCCCTTGGGTGTGGTACGGGTGTGACACTTGAAATTCCGCCATTGTGAAAATTGGTGTGTATTATGTAGTTGTAACAGATTTTTGTTTTAAGTTGTATATTTGTATTAAGTTGTATATTCGTATTAAGTTGTATTTTTGTTGTAAGTTGTATTTTGTTTCAAGTTAAATGTAGATTTAATGCTTGCCTTTGGTTATTTAGTTTTATTTATAATGTCTACTTGCCCTGTTTTTGTGTTTGTTATCTTTTTTTTTTACAATAAAAATTATGATGAAGAAACATTTTTACGCTTAATTTGTATTTTTCTCATTAATTTTTGGTATTTGTATCAACACTGTACCATTTTCTATATTCATTTGTTCATATTAATCATCTTTTTAACATCTACATTTAAATTCAAAATCTATTTTATCCAATTTTGATAATTTTTTTCAGAATAGGCACAATATGTTTGACGTCTTTGCGACAAAATGATGTTGGACTGTCCTGTCTCCAATATTTTATCGAAACGCTGGGCTGTTGTTGACGATGTTGTTGTTGTTAGATGTAGATTATATTTATATTGTTATATAGATGATACATATTGTTGATGTTGTTGTTAGGATATAAATGATATATGATGTGGTTGTAATGTTTATATGATATATATTGTTGTTGTTGTTGTTGAAGAATCTAAATGATACATATAAATATTGTTTTGCAGTATAGATAATATTAAAATATGTATACAGATATAGATAATACTTAGTGTTGTTGTTATTGGGTTATAAATAATTCATATTGTTGTTGGATGTAGATGATATATTGTTGTTGTGTAAGGATGTTGATAAAATATTTGATAAAAAATTGATTTTGGTTTCGAAGATTATGTAAAAACGAGATGATGTTCTTGTTTTTATCTTTGACTTGAAAGCAACAAAGCTGACAGTGAGTGATATGACATTATGACAACGATGTATTTCTTCTTCTAATTCCAGCAAATCAAATTTTCGCACATATCTGAATTAATTCTTCATTTTTCTTTCAACATTTTGACATTGGCAACAAAAAAGTGATGACGAAACGACAGTATCAATGAACATGACGCTTATGATGACGACGACGACGATGTATATACATATGATGATGATTGTATGCTTATGATGATGATTGTATACTTATGATGATGACGACGACGAAGACGATGATGATTGTCTTGAGATGATAAAATTCACTATGGTAACGACAGCATTGTTATATTACATGATCACAATGATGAAGTCACTACTAAAGATAAGGATGAAAATGATGATAAAGATGCTGATGATGTCGCTAAAGATGGGGATGAAGATGATGTCATTAAAGATGATGAAGAAGAAGATGATGAAGATGATTGTGGAGACCTTCTTTGATCATAGGTCTGTTTGATGTCGATGAATCGTTCTAGCGATGTTCCGATTCATTTCCGCCATTCTTAAATGACATTAACAATTATCACATTCACTCCAACTTTAAAAAAATTAAAGTAAATTTTTTGATGAAGAAATCATTTCTAAATTAATGTAAAACTATAATATATATATATATATATATATATATATATATATATATATATAAGAAAAACATATATACATATATATAAAAGAGAACATATATATGTTGTATATATATATATATATATATATAATGTTTTATAAGTTTTTTGCTGTAATGTTAGTTATTTCAACATTTTCTGTGTTAAGATAATTTATTAATAATATGAGTGTTAAAATAAAAAAAATTGACTACCAAAGTTAAAACTGTTGTCGAAAGCTGTGAGTGTCTTGCAAAAGAGTGCAGTGAATGTGATAAATGGATGGATGTTGGTTGGATGTTGAATGCACGCTGTTGTGGTTATAGCAAATGTGGTTAGATGAATGCTCTGGGGTCATTAATATAGTTTATTACTGATATTATTAATACTGATATTATTAATACTAATATTTATTATTATTTATCGTTATTATAGTTTAAAAATAAGAAACCATCATTATTTTTATAATTTCAACACTATTAGTATCCACCTTAATCATTTTAAAAATCATTTTTATTTGCGATTTTGTTATCATCATAGTCTTATTATTCAAAATCTAATCACCATCATAGTCTTTTTAAGTCTGTTGTTTGTCTGTTTAATCTCAGTTGCTATCGCTTCAACACGCATCCATGCAATTTCTTGTCTCATCCCATCAACATTTTTTAATAATACATTTGTCTTATGACCACTTATACAAAAAAAACTGTATGAATTTGTAAAGAATGTTCATGTTATTTAGTTGTATTGTCAGGCAGACGCAGCGAGCAGACAATATGTAGGTAGAAATTTACGCACTTGAACAACGCAGAAAAAAAATATTTTAACAAGAAAAATGCAACGAAAAAATGACAATAACTATAACAACAATAACAATATTTTATTTGACCACAAACAATCAAGGACATTAGCAATTGTATAAAGTATTGTATTGTATTGTATAAAACAAGTTGCTTTATACATTAAAAACTAATGTTGATACAGACGTTCACACTGCCTACAAACAATGTTACAAACAATACAAAAATAAAAAAAAATCATTAACGGTAGATACAGACAATACAACAAAAAAACATCTAGAAACATAAAATATACAAACAGCACAATACAAAGCAATAAAAAAACAACACAATACGAAGCAATGTATTATTAAAAAGGTTACTTCACTACAAACAATACAATACAGCATGGCAAACTGCAAAACGTATAAACAGTTGTCGCAAACAATACAGAGCATACAAAACCTTACAAAGCATACAAACGGTTGTTACAAACATTACATAGCAAACAAAACTATACAAAGCATACAAAAAGTTTCTACAAACAATACAAAACATACAAAGCAACACAAACCATACAACTATTTTTACAAATAATGCAATATAAAACAAAAGAAGACCAAACGTGAAACAAAACGTAAACCATTTGCAGCAAACAATACAAGCCAACACATTACAACGCATTACAGAGCAAAAAACAATTGGTACAAACAATACAACAAAATACAAAATAAAATACAAGCGGTTGAAAAAACAATAAAAACAACATAATACAAAACATAGAAACAGTTGATACAAAAAAATGCAAAACAATACAATGCAAAACGAAACAAAGCATACAATAAATTTTTCTGGCTAAACGTAAATTTCTCCTTTGACACCAAACGATGAACGTCATTGGCTGAATGACTGCGCATGCTCAATGCAGTCGGAGCTATTTCCGTTTCCGGAATGCGAATAAAAATATACGCATATTTATGTAACGTTCAATGGAAATTTGATTACATATTTAACATACTCTATACACACACACACACACATTCACACACATACACATACATTCACACACACACACGCATTCACACATACACACACCAACACACATATCAGATATCTTCGAATCGTTGCGAGTTAGCAATCTGTAATTCAAAACAAAACAAAAATTTGGAAAATAAAAACCTCAATAAAATTGAAAGGCGACATTTGTTAAAGTGAAAAAAAAAAAAAACGAGAAATTACTTAAAAACTATTTCTTGACAAGAACAATGGAGCGGTCGATAGCATTAAAAATATGTACGTGTCTTTCTCTGTGTGTGTGTGTGTGTGTGTCTGTGTGTGTCTGTCTGTGTGTGTCTGTCTGTGTGTGCATGTGTATTTGTCTCTCTGTGTGTATGAATCTGGATAAAATGGGATATATTGATCGGGCAAACATGTTAGTTTTGGGGTTGTCAACAATATCTTAACTGGATGACAAGTAGATGATGGTGATGACGATAGTGATGACGATAATGATGGTAAAGATAATGATGATGGTGGTGGTGATGATTATGGAGTTGATGATGGTGATAATGATGTTGATAATAAGGTGAAAATAATGACGATAATGATGAAATCGGTGGCTGTGATGATGTTGATAAATATAAAGATGACGATAATACTAATGATTTCAGAGATGATGACGTAGATGATGATGACGTCAATTAGGACGTAAATGATGACTTCTACCTACACTGCTATTACACACACGCACACACACACACACACAAACATATTATACACACAAACACTAACACAACCACTCGATACACACTATCATGATACACACACATGTGTCGGGGGTCGATAGTTTGTAAATGAAACTTTGTTTAGATCTGGAGATATGATGTGTTATGAGTGTGTTTGAAGTTGTCAAACTACAGAGTTGCTGTTGTACGCTGTTGTTGTTATGTGTTTGCTTGCTTTAACAGAAATGTGTTTGACGTGTTTTCATTTTTTGCTCTGTATTTGTGCATGTACTTGTGTATATGTGTACTATGTGTGTGTATGCGTGTGTGTGTTTGTGTATGTGTACCATGTGTGTTTGTGTGTGAGAATGTGGTAAGAGTCGTAAATATCACTCAACCTCAGTATGAATAAGACGGACACTGACAAACAATCCAGCGATAAATCTTGTTTTTTTTTTATTAAGACTCATACGTCTGGACAGGCAGATGCACTGGTCTGTGTATGTCTGTCTGTCTGTCTGTTTGCATACAATACAAAAAAATGAAAAACGAAACATACAATCTTCATTTGTTTGACTGTATGTAGGTCAATTATTCACATATCTAGTAGATTGCTACACATCTTAACATGTTACCAATATGCAAGAAATGATTTAGCGTAAAATACATAATGACAAATCAGAACAACTTCGAATAAAAGTTATAATTATTGAAAATAACTTTTTGGGAGGATTTCATTTTGAAAACAAAAATAAACTACAAGCTCTTTTAACCGATGAAATGACTTCAATTCAAGTTAAAATTATTTTATACTCGTTAGGTGCTTCTAGTGGGAAAATTACCACACAAATGTTTTCTGATGTTCCTGGATAAATGAATGAATGAATCAATCAATCAATGATTGGATAAATGAATTAATGAATAAATTAACTAATTAATTAGTTAGTTAATTAATAAATAATAGAAAAAACGAACAAACGAATGAATGA